GCACGATATTTCAGCCACTTTTGATATTAATGTTCGGTCTAATTTTGTTACACGAGTTTTGTATGATATCTATGTTTATAAAACCTTATTACATAATGTGAAAATCATATATATGAATAGCATACCCATTGTAATTAATCAATAAAGTGTTTTGAATTTGATTTTGATTTTGAACTCTCTTTTTCTGTCTGTCTGTCTGTCTGTCTGTCTGTCTGTCTCTCTCTCTCTCTCTCCGTTTCTGTCTTTCTCTGTCTTTGTCTCTCTCTCTGCCTCTGTCTCTCTGTCTGTCTGTCTCTCTCTCTCTCTCTCTCTCTCTCTCTCTCTCTCTCTCTCTCTCTCTCTCTCTCCGTTTCTGTCTTTCTCTGTCTTTGTCTCTCTCTGCCTCTGTCTCTCTCTCTCTCTCACTGTCTCTGTCTCTGTCTCTCTGTCTCTCTCTCTCTTTGTCTGTTTGCAACACGTGCGGTAGCTTTTACGATTCCTTTTTTATTTCTCATTTCATTTTGGAAGGGGGGGGTGGGGCATATAAATCGTCCTCTAAGCAGGAAACAAATTTATTGACTGAAATAACTTGGGTTCCATGTGAAGTCTTCACGAAGTAGATTAGTTTTTTTTCTAGTCTTTTTGAATGCTATTTGAACTGACATCAAGTCTTGATTGCTACCGGGGAAAGGGAATACGAATGAGTGCACATATCAACATACGTACACACAAGTAGAATACATTTTCTATACGCACATTGATAAGACCACACCCACCCACCCACCCACCCACACACACACACACACACACACACACACACACACACACACACACACACACACACACACACACACACACACTCACACACAGAACAAAGCGAAGAGTCGGTCTGAATTATATTTTGACAAACCCGGGAGTATTCTTTTCAGAGAAACAATCTCAAACGAGAAAACTTTAACTGGCTAGAAGCATTCACACGTTATTGATGGTAATTGAACAAGGAGTGGTTTTATGACCCCTGGCCTCTCGCGTTGGCAGGAACCTTCGCCGAATGAAAACGGCAAAAATAAAGGATTTTTACATTTCACTTAAAAGAAAAAAAAATGTATACAGTGATTGAGAGTAGGAGAGAGAGAGAGAGAGAGAGAGAGAGAGAGAGAGAGAGAGAGAGAGAGAGAGAGAGAGAGAGGGAGAGAGAGAGTTCAAAATCAAAGAGAGGGAGAGAAAAACAGAAAAAAAAAAATAGAGACAGAGACAATAAGATTTTTTACATTTCACTTAATAGAAAAAAAATGTGTACAGTGATTGAGAGTAAGAGAGAGAGAGAGAGAGAGAGATTATTCAAAATCAACGAGAGGGAGAGAGAAACAGAAAAGAAGATATAGAGACAGTTAGAGACAGAGACAACAAGAGATATAAACAGAGAGAGAAAGAAATAGACAAAAAACAGGAAGAGAGAGAGAGAAAGAAATAATTAGAAAGAGACGCAGAAAGAAACAGAAAGAAAGAAAGAGAGACAGAGACAAAGAGAAAAAGTAGGGGAGACAGAAACAGAGAAAGAGTTTTAAATACCAAAACTCAACTCCCATTTCTTATTTTGACTGAAAGAAACGCAACATGGGGGGGGGGTGACAAATGAAACACACTGCATTAATGAACACATAATATATTTGATATTAATTATAACATATCACTATTATCGGCACATTGTTTATTTGGATTGAAACACCAATGTATATAATACGGCTCCTTTATACTGGTTGTCCACTGTGGTTTGTGGTCAGCGACTCTCAGCCTTAGATCATCGCGCAATTAAGCTCAAAATCGCCAAAAAAACGGTTGCAATGTTCATGGTGCAGGAATGATTCATGAGTGCGGTGTGTGCTCTCGTTTCTAACTGGCTGTCCTAGATGACTCGCAAACCAGTGAAAATCGGCAGATTTTTTACTTTTTTTTGTGTGTTTTTTTTTTCTCCTATTTTTGACCAAACGATTCTCGGGGGGGGTGACAAATGAAACACACTGCATTAATGAACACATAATATATTTGATATTAATTATAACATATCACTATTATCGGCACATTGTTTATTTGGATTGAAACACCAATGTATATAATACGGCTCCTTTATACTGGTTGTCCACTGTGGTTTGTGGTCAGCGACTCTCAGCCTTAGATCATCGCGCAATTAAGCTCAAAATCGCCAAAAAACGGTTGCAATGTTCATGGTGCAGGAATGATTCATGAGTGCGGTGTGTGCTCTCGTTTCTAACTGGCTGTCCTAGATGACTCGCAAACCAGTGAAAATCGGCAGATTTTTTACTTTTTTTTGTGTGTTTTTTTTTTCTCCTATTTTTGACCAAACGATTCTCAGTTCAGCCACTGTTTTCGTCTCTCTACACTAGCGTACTTTTCTCTTAAAAACAAGGATATTCTATAAATCCTTGAGACAGATAAAAGGACATTCTTCTTCGTATAAAAAGATATATAAGGAAGCATAGGCCGTCGTTCTTTAAGGCTGAAAGTCGCAGAGCACGTCACAGACACGGCTGTTGTGGTGATAGGCTTAGGCACATATTAGAGCAGAAGGGGAGGGATAGGAAGGGGGGAGGGGGTGTAAAAAGGTTCATGAGGGGGGGGGGACATCAGAGGGGATCACATGGAGAGAGGGGCGCAAGGGGGGGGCGGGCGGGGGGGGGGGGAATGCATTTCTTATATCTAGACGCCATCTGATTTGAAAGGAGGGGGGGGGGGTAGAAAGGAGGGAGGGGGGTCGCTCTTCAAGGTGGAGCTTCAGCTGAATGCGGGAGAGGTGGATAGGGGATAGTGGGGGTGGGAAGGGGGGGGGTAGAAACGGAAGGGGGGTAGAGGGGGGCGAGGGGATTTCTCAACGGTTGAGCGCTATCTGAATGGCTGAGGAGGGGGGGGAGGGGGAGAGGGAGGGATTGTACCGCGTCTGAGGGGTATATATAAAGGGGTTGGGCACTTGGTACGGGTTGAGCGCCATTTGAATGTGGTGAAAGAGGGATGGGTGGGCTGGGGGGGGGGTAGAATGAGGATGGGGAGGCATCTCTTTATCGGTTGAGCGCCATCTGAATGAGGGGGGGAGGGGGGGGGATAATGAGGAGTAATGGGGATGGGGGGAGCATAAAATAGGGAGACGCCACTTAAGGGTGCTCAGGAAGAAACTTCAGAAAAGGGTTCTTAAAAAATCGATATTTTTTATTCCAGGCTATTTACATAGTTCTACTTGATTACATTTTTTTATGTTTTTTTTTTTTCATTTTTGTTTTAGCAACCTTTCTGTAGCGTTAAGGTTTATACACATATTTTTTTGTTATTTTTATGACATCAAGTTACTGAACACAAAGACATCCGGAGACCATTTCGTTGATAACTCAGGCGATACGTCGACCCTCACTGACTACAGGACGTCGCTTTGTAGTTGAGAACAGAAGACTATCAACATCTCTGGTCTTAATAGTCCATGTACAGGGAAAGGGGGAGATAAGACCGGATTACTGTTACTGTTCAGGAAGAAAATAACATGTTTTTTTCTAGTTTCCTTGATGTTTACCAAGAAGTCTCCATTTTTAAACACTTTTTATTTCTGGGTTCATGCAAGTCTCGTCTGCCTCGTTCAGGGTAAACATGGTTTTCGATAATACAGCTTGATGTTCAGGCTGAGTTTAATAAATGCCAGCCCTCGACCTATCCTAATCTTTTGTTAACCCTAAACCTTGTGGGGGGGAGAGAGCTATATCTAAAGAATAAACAAGTAAAACATCAAATTCTTCCATCATAGGATCCTGGATTATAAACAGGCGGGATGACTCTGGATACTGGAACTTCTAAAGCTATTGTTACTGTTATTAGCAGTAGTATTTTCAGGTCCACATCTCAACAGTTCCCATGATTGGTTAACCTAACTACCAGAGCCAGTGCCTTGACACGTGGTCTTCAGTTCAGGTCCTTGGGATACTACAGCTGTACTACAAGAACGAGGGCAGGGAAGGTACCTCGAGGACTCTGTGCTTACTTGTCTAGGCTTCATGAAATACCCAGAAGCCGAGGGGTATTTCTAATACGCCCTAAGTCCTCAGGTCTCTTCCTCGAGGTACAAGGAGGAACTACACCAAGTACCAAAAGGTTACCCCGAAGGTTGAGGGATTTTGGGGGGATTTGTATATTCTTCAGCTATTATTATCGATCTATGTTTCCCTTTAGCTCCATACCCAGGATCTACTGGTGAAAAATCAAGAATGGAATGTAGATATAATGTAATTACAAATATATAAATATAAACGTATTCAAGGCCATAAACAAAAAAGAAAAAAAAAAGAAAAGAAAATGTCTTGCTTATCTACCAACATTATTCTACATCTCAGTTGACATCTGATAAAAACAACTGACTGCATTATGGGGGAAAATATCATCACTAGTTCAAACAAAATTCCAGAAACTATTGAGACAGACGAAATGCGCTTCTACAATTTCTCACAATCATTTCATTCTTCTTCTGAATTACCTTTCCTTCTAGTCTTTAATATTCCTCCTTAGATAAGTCATTTTGTGTCACTAATTTTCGGAATGTATACAAGCACAGGAGGATAAAATGGAAACTTTAGGACTGAGCAAATGTCCAAATTGATCTTGGAATGATCCGCTCTTGTTAATGATATCACAGACCGATGTCTATGGAATGTAAAAAAAGGAAGAAAAAATACTTAGTCAATCAGTGACTACTGCTGCTGATATGAAAAGAAAAATAAAATAAAATGTATGTTTATATATATATATATATATATATATATATATATATATATATATGTGTGTGTGTGTGTGTGTGTGTGTGTGTGTGTGTGTGTGTGTGTGTAAATACATACATATACATACATACATACACATATATATATATATATATATATATATATATATATATATATATATATATGTGTGTGTATATACATACATGTGTGTGTGTGTGTGTGTGTGTGTGTGTGTGTGTGTGTGTGTGTGTG